GGGACCAATATTCAATGTCGGGTAAATGTATGAGAAAAAAATAAATCAGCTATACACCGATTAAGTATTGCGATGACGTGGATAGAATTCTTGTGTCCCCCATCCTTTCGTCCTCTCACTGGATTAAACACTCATAAATTCGCGGAAGAGCGTCGTTTCAAGGTTCGCATTTTTTTTGTCTTTTAAAAATGGAAATCAAACGCCTATGAATTTCCCTTCATACCATTCCATCACTTTATTGAAACCGATTGACTCACTTCTCCACGCCGGCAGTAGAACGGATGCATGATATGCTTTCTCCTATGTTGCCGTAATAACCAGTCTTGTGCCAATTGGTCAATATAATCTTGTTCAACGAGTAATATTCAGCGCCTTCCCCTAGGCCCTCCAAAAAAATAAATAAATAAATAAAAAGACTAGGAGCTAGTTCTCGTTCTCCATGACTTCACAATAGCGGCAACATGATTAGAAGCCTGGGTACTTTGTGATTAACGACGTACAATCCAGCCTATGCAGTTGTACATGCGAAGGTCTTAACTTGTCGTGCTTCATTCGAGCCGGACTATGCAACGAATAGTTAGTTTTTGCTCGCATATCAGAGATTCACTTCAAATATGGGATTGAGTTTTCACTTAATTTAATGAGTGGCATGCCCTTGTGTTCTCTCCACGTTTCTTTGACAAAGACACTGGGAATATCTGGCGTGAGTTGTGCATACGTTATATAAGGCTGGGTTTATCTACCATTTTGACTTATGAGAATGGAATTCATAAATGGTTACAAGATTCCACCAATGCTATAAACTGGTCAAAGATTCTTTGGGGTTTTCTAAGTTCATTATACTATCACAGGCCATTTAGTCCTGTTGCCTTTTCGCCGCCCTCTTGCGGTCATCCAACTCGAGGTTTTGCGATTTCAGGTTTTGGTGGAAGCTTGCTGTTTCAAAATCCCCGCCAGTTGAATGTTTCTACTGCCAGCTGCATCTTCAAGATTCGTGAATGATCCATGATTCCGAGTCTCCCAAGCAAACCATGGTTGGAACTGGTCTTACGGTCTTAAAATGCCGCGAGCAAGAAATCGCTTTTCCTTCTTGTTTGCATATTGCAATTCAATATCTATCTCGGCGAGCGGGAAATAAAGAACACTCCCATCAGCCGTCGCATGTATAGATACCACGCACTACTTTAGTCGTAGAGTTTCAGAAGATGGTAATTCTTCATCGATGTGAGTTTAGTCCATTTTTGGCTGTTCAGGATTAGTCTGTTACCTCGCGATCGTGTTTTCTTCCTGTTTTCCCCCTCTTTGTTCTTCTAGCAGACAAATTATGCAAGTTATATCTGTGAGGAGACAAGAAGCCAAGAAAAGAAAGAACCAAAGCTAAATACAAAAGAGCAAACCCTGTCGAATAAGACCATTTCCCTTCTTGTTGCTACTTACATCATCTGTCCTCCGAGAGCTGCCCCAAAACACTAGCTTTTCGCAGCATCACAAGGTTGTCTACCACTTCAAATATTAATAATTCGATAATCAAACAATTATATAGAGCTTTTAATTAGCTGTATTAACTATAACAAAAGGGATGTGAATTAGTCTTCGTCATAATATTTTTTAATAACTCGAATTAAAAATAGATACAGGTAGAACAAATGCTTAAGAACACGCAAGCCACGGATTGCTACTCATGTTTCTTTCTCTTCTCTTTTCTTTCTCGCTTGCAAATTCTAACTGTGTCACCTGAAACAATAATGATTTTTCATCACAATTGTGGATTGTGATTATATATGGATATTCCAAGATTCGGGTTGAGTGTCAAAGTCGAGAGTCGGATCGTAAGTGCCATATTGAACACCCGATAGTCGAGTCTATCGCATCGCGGCTAATTTTGTTGACTAGTCTCCACATACCTACCGTAATTTGAGATCTATAGCCGGAGAGAGTGGCCGTGGATATGATTTGAACTCTCTTTACTGAAACCATGTAGGGCCATCAAATCGATTAGCAAATGTTCTGAAGTTATTCAAGAACATAAGCTAGCAACTTGTGGTGAGAATGGCCTGTGCTCTTTTGTAGGGTTGAATGTAATGGCTTTTCTCATTACTCTTGGAAGACGTACGTGCAAAAATCAACTGAATCCAGTGAAGCAATCCAGTTAGAGCAGTAAAATAGACATGATATACTACAGATTGCAAATCGATTGCTATCTTGGCGGCTCATCCAAAACCCTAGGCTCCGTTTGTTTCACGGAACATATTTTTCGGAAAAAAATTTTCTTCATTTTCCGGCGTTTGAATTGGTTAGGAAAATGAGTTAATGAAAAACATATAGTTAAATTCAGGAAAATGAGTTAATGAAAAACATATAGTTAAAGAATCGGAAATCATTTTCCAAAATATGACTAGATATTGACATTTAAACCTTAAACTTTGCACTTGGACATGAGAATCCCAATGCTCGTTCCCGGGCCCTTGGCAATGAGGCTAGGTCTACCGAGGTCCACCAAGGGCAAGCTCGGGTCCATCGAGGCTGGGCCAAGATCTCAGCGCCCGGGCCCATTCCCATCGAGGCCGGGCCTGGGACTCTTGTGCCCTAGTCCATTGAAGCCAGGCCTAAGACCCTAGTGCCCGAGATCGAGTCCTCAGGGCTAGTACCCAAGTCCTTGGCACCCTTACGCGGGTCCCCGGCGCCCATGTCCATCAAGGCTGGGCCCGGGTTCCTAGTGCCCACACCCAGGTTCATCGAGATTAGGCCCGGAACCCCGGTGCTTGTGCCCAATTTCCTAGCGCCCCAACTCGGGTACATCAAGGCTAGGCCCGAGTACATCAAGGCTAAGCTTGGGACCCTAGTGCTCGTGTCCGAGTCCCTAGTGCTTGTGCCCAGGTCCATCAAGACCGGGCTCGAGACTCCAACACCCGTGCCCGGGGCCATCAAGGCCGGGCCTGGGACCTTGGCACTCGAGCTCGGGACCCTAGTGCTCGTGCCCGAGTCCATTGAGACTAGTTCCGGAACCCTGACGCACTTGTGTCCCGATCCATTGAGGATTGAGGCGGGGCCCGAGACCTCAGGTCCTTGTCCATCGCAATCGCGACCATTGATGCTAGGTCAGGTCCATTGAGGCCAGGCCCGGGTCCATAGAGGCCAGGCCGAGGACCCCAGTGCCCAGGCATTATATTAGATCTTCAGTCACATAACAAGGACAAGAGAATTTCGACCACGATCCACAAGCAAAAGTATACAACATCATGCGTATATTCCGCATCATGATTTTTGTCCGGTTTATCCACGCCATCGGTACAAAACAAGAATGGGCAATGAAAAGTCTTCTCTCTCTGTCTTCAACACCACTCCGTCCTTGCCCTATATGACCAACACAACCACAACCAGATAGACTCTCTCTCTCTCTCTCTCTCTCTCTCTCAAACACCACCATCTTCATCTTCACTTCCAAAGTGCTCCATCATCAAAACCACCTTTACCCATGGAGATCAAATGCTCAGCCTCGGACCTAGCCTCGCTCACCAACTCCACCGCCTCCAACTCCAACAATGCCCTCATGTCCACCTTCCTCTGCAGCCGCCTCGACGCGCATCTCCAACAAGTTCGCCGACACTGCCCACGCGGTCGACAACACCTACCTCCTCTTCTCCGCCTACCTCGTCTTCTCCATGCAGCTCGGCTTTTCCATGCTCTACGCCGGCTCCGTCTGCGCCAAGAACACCATGAACATCATGCTCACCAACGTCCTCGATGCAGCCCGTGGCGTCTCCGCTACTACCTCTTCGGCTCCTCCAAGGGCTTCGTCGGCCTCCACTTCTTCGGCCTCAAGAAGATCCCCTCCGACCCCTTCGATTACAGCTTCTTCCTTTACCAATGGGCCTTTGCTATCGCCGCTGCCGGCATCACCAGCAGGTCCATCGCCGAGAGGACCCACTTCATGGCCTACCTCATATACTCCACCTTCTTGACGGGCTCTGTCTACACGATAACCTCTCATTGGTTTTCGTCCGCCGACGATTGGCCCAGCCCATTCCGGCCTGACGGCAAGCTCTTCTTCGGGTCTGGCGCCATCGACTTTGCCAGGTCGGGCGTGGTCCACATGGTGGGAGGGATAGATGGCTTGTGGAAAGCCTTCATTGAGGGCCCGCGCATCAGCCGGTTTGACCAGGCTGGGCGGGTCGTGGCCTTGCGGAGTCACAGCGCGTCCCTCGTTGTCCTTGGGTCATTCATGTTGTGGTTCGGGTGGTACAGGTTCAACCTGGGCTCGTTCCTCACCATCTTAAAGACGTACAACACCATCAGCGGGTTCTACAGCCGATGTAGGACCGTGGGGCGGACAGCCGTCATGACCACGCTGGCCGACTCCACCGCCGCCCTCACCATGCTGTTCAGCAAGCGATTGTTGGCGGGCCATAGGAACATCATCGACGTGTGCAACAGCCTACTTGGCGGGTTCGCAGCCATCACGTCCGGGTGCTCCGTGGTGGAGCCGTGGGCCGCGGTCGTGTGCGGGTTCGTGTCCGCGTGGGTCCTCATCGGTTTCAACAAGCTCGCGGAGCTGGCCAAGTTCAACGACCTGCTCGAGGCGGCCCAGCTTCACGGGGGCTAATCTTCACGAGCCTATTCGCAAAGCAGCGGTATGTGGACGAGGTGTACGGCGGGTCGGGCCGTAAGTACGGGTGGTTCACAGGCGGCGTGGGCAGCTGCTGGTGGCCCAAATCGTGGAGATCCTGGAGATCATGGGGCAGGTCACAGCCACAATGGGCCTGCTGTTTATGGGCTCCACAAGTTGAAGTGGCTGAGCGTCCGGCGATGATGAGAAGGACAGCATGGATCTAATGAGGCACGGCGGACTCGCCTACATTTACCGTGATTAGGACGACCAGCTGATCATCCCTCCCATCACGAGGAGGGTAGAGCCCACGAATCGGAGCCCCGCCCCAAACGTTGATGATCAGAATGACACACGATCCGTCTGATCCTTTCTTGCATGGGAGTGGGCCCGCATGCGTAGGATTTGGATGGCTGGGATTCTCTTTCAAGATACTCGGGGTGTGTCCAAACCAGGGGGTCCTGTGTATTTACAGCATTTTGTCGCCATCTCTCTCGTGTCCTTTTTTCTTTGGACTAATCCTTAAATCGAAAAAATAAAAGAAAAATGAAGAGGATAAGCTATTTATTCGAATTTTATTGTAATTTTAATGCGTAAATTATATCGAAAATAAGTGTTGTCTACTCTTTATTAAACCAGCAATAGCAATAGAAGGGAAAAAACTAGACTTGAATATCGAAACTCACTCGACAACGATTCATTTGCAATACCGATCCGCCTTCTTCTTCATTCAGTCATCGAGCGCGTCCTCAACGAGCGAGCAAAAGGTGGGAGGCTGACCTTCAAGGGCGAAGCCCTAGCGTCCCGCAGCAAGTCCATCGACAAGAAGCAAAAGAAGAAGCGCAAGCAGAAGCTCAAGGATGCCGCCGCCGCTGAGGACAGCGAGATCGAGCAGCAGCGGGTGGAGGACGGCGACGGCGACGCTGCGGCGGCGGCGGCGGGCCAGGACATTTACCCCATCGACGCGGCAAAGAAGATGAAGTACGAGGAGCTGTTCCCCGTGGAGGCGAGGTAGTTCCGCTACGACCCCAAGTTCAAGGCCAAGACCGTCGAGGACGCACTTGATGACCGAGTGAAGAAGAAGGCGGATCGGTACTGCAAATGAATCACTGTCGAGTGAGTTTCGAAAATAAGTGCTGTCTACTTAAATTAACTATCGAAAATAGAAGAATGGAATCGGCCTATTACCTCTCTGAGGTTAAGATGCTTGCTCTGCTTATCCTTGTCAATGTTATCATAACACAAATGCACAGCCAGTGACTAAATGGTGTGAACCTTCTGCATGTTAAATGTAACAATGGCATGATATTCCGAAAAATCGGAAGCAAATCACCAACAAGGCAAGTCCTTTAATGGTGAAGACGTGTTAGGAGCACCTATTACTGGATTTTATTTCTTTTTCCACACAATAATATCATGCTCGGTCAAGGCACGGGAACTTATTAAAAAATAAAAGAGAAAGCAAGGGAACTCTTTTTTTTTTTTGCTAGAAAAGAAAGCAAGGGAACTTGCACCGTCTCTTTTACGACAGTTTTGGTTGCACGCATCTGTTGACAGCAGTCTTGGTGTGTGTGTCCATGATGTCTTTTTGAGGTTTTCACAATGTTGTCCGTTCCGTGTCCTACTCACCGCATGCTTTATGTGAGGCACCGCTACAGGTTATCTAACTCATGCTAATATTAAGACTTACCTCAAGACTTACAAACAACTCTCGAGGTTTTACGATCAATAGAGCATTTGAAAGTACTGAAGCTCATTTTTGGCTCCAAGGATATTGAAATAAATATTATCGATGTGTTTCATCAGCTCCTGTTTTTTTTTTTAGCCAAAATATGTCAAATTTGATTAAGCAGCACGTCCCTACGGGTTCTAATGAGTGGATCTGCCGAATTAAGAGAACAGGCAGCGCTAGGTCTTGGAGAGCTGATTGAAGTGACAAGTGAGAAGGCTCTGAAGGAGTGTGTAATCCAAATAACACGGTATTGGTTTCTTGCATTTCTTGCTCTGAATGATCCCCAACATCTGAGATTTAGTTGAATGGACTTCATTTAAAAAAAAGAAGTTGACTGGAACTTGTAAATTGGGAGTCGGTACTTATTGAGAACTACATTCCTAGTACTTACAGTCTACATTTTTGCTTCTTGTTTTTAGAAACTATTAAGACATGCTGCTAAAACATCTGGAAAATTTGGAAAGTTGAATTGAAATTTGCTTTTGCGTAGTCATTTTGCGAAACTAGAGAATGCTCTTTAAGTCTGATAATCCTTTTAGTTTGTCATTCTTTAGTTCTTGATCGTGACTTTGGCAGCTCAAGTAACTCTTTTCCCCCCTTAAATCTTGTTGTCTTGTGCTTAGCTAACCAAACGTAGCTTGGACCCTATTTCTTCTTTGATCAGATTATTAATTCGGTGATTGATGCATTTCGTCTTTGTATGGTTAATGTCTTCATTTGCGTGTGCTACCAATGGTTCAACTTTTTCCTTCCCTAACATTTAGACTGCATGTGGATGCAGACCACTTATCCGGATAATAGGTGATCGGTTTCCTTGGCAAGTGACGAGTGCAATATTATCCACTCTAAGCATCATACGAAGAAAGGGAGGATTGGCTCTGAAGCCTTTTCTTCCTCAGCTGCAGACGACTTTTGTCAAATGTCTCCCCGACAATACAAGGAAGGGGCAATACATTGTACGTTATTCTTGCAGGGAATGCCTTTGTTTTGGAGGAACGTTCCTCTCCCTCTTGTTGTGGATCTTGCTTTTGCATTTTTTACTTGTCAATGCTCTCCATGTTGAGGCATGTTGACATCTAAATTTCGATCGACCATTTAATAATAATTTGCATAGAAAATTAGGGATTAAATTTTAACCCCTAAACAAAAATATTAAAATTGCATAGCGTATAGTTTAAGTTCATATAGGTTAGTTGCATTCCGCATCGGATTGACAGTGGCGAGAAAGTTGAAAATCCATTGCGTAAATCGAGCTCGGGCACCGAACAAAACTCGGCTCACTCAAGGGATAAGGGCCGAAAATTACAAGACATGACAGGCTCAATTGAACTTAATTTGATCATAATTCAGCCCATTAAAGTTTAATCGCAAGTTGACTTTAGGGTATTAGAGCCCATCACATTGAAAAAGGGGCCTAAATTAAGCCCGCAATAGCAAGATAAACCTAGGTCATACTATAAATACATGTTATGCCCTTCAATGAGAGGGAGACTCTTATAATTTTTGAAGAACACAATTTCGAAGAGCAGAGGAGGCCACACAATTTCATACACGGCCACCATTGAGAGAATAAGGAGAGCACGTCCGTGAGAAAGTTCTCTTTCCGCAATAGGCATTACTCACGAGGACCTCTTCATCACAACAGACCCAAGAGAGAGGAGTTTTTGGCTTTTTCCTGCAGGTGGGACACAAGACGCGTTCAACACATTGAAGAAGATGCCCAGAGGGGTCTCCACCAAACAGAGAAAGAGCTAAGCAGGAGGAAAAAACAAAAATTCTCTCTACTTGCTTGCATAGCAACGGTTCTGACATTGCTCCATCGTTGGAGAAGTTCCAACGAGCGACGATCCTTTTGCGACATTGCGTTCAGCCACATCAAGTCTTGGCTCCCCTGGCGTGACCTGCACTGGGACTCTTGCACCGCCTCAATTCCTGCTGAGTCTTCGTCGGACTCCCACCAAGCTGAGGCGTTGGGTTTTCTGTTTTACAGGCTGGTCGGAATATTCGAGTCATGATCTACGAGTTCCGCGAACCATTAGCCATAGATTCGAGCCTGAACCCATGGACCGCCTGCCGCCGTCGGTCACCGTCCCGATCCGCAAGCCCGAGTCCGATCCAAGTTCGAATTGGAAATATCCACAAATTAGGTAAGATTCTCATCTATAGTCTTAGAATATTCAGTTTCCTAATCTTTCAAGTGTTTGAATATTTCGTGAATAGTACGTGGATTGCTAGATACCTTAGGATGATGTGTGCTATATCCGCAATATTTGAAAATACCCAAAATTAGGAATCATTCCTAATTTGGCAACGTATCTGGACGACTATCCGACTTTATCTCTAAGGTACGATATGCGGTGATACGGAAAATCGTTATCTTATTCATAATCACTTGGATACGATAATAAATTTTATTTTCTTTCCAAATTTGAACAATCAGCTTTCCGTCGATATCTATAACCCTATAGATATGACCGTTAGTTTGATTTCTTTGCCTAATTTGAATTTAATATAACAAATCTTGCGGATCGCGTGGATTGGTTTTGATAGTTGTCACGCCCCGTACCCTACGAAGCGCGAGCATCCCACCTCCGGTCGTTTGTGATGCAATGCTCCCAGGATACATCGCCGGCCCAACGCCCAATCAGAGATAAGGCACATGCGAAAACAACGTGTATATATATATATATATATATATATACACACTCGTACAAAACAACACACGTGAGACCAAGGTAGAAAAGCCATCAAACAAGAATATACACTTGTACTAATATAGTAAAAACCTTTTTACACTATCCTTTTGTACAACTCCAAAAACCTCAACATCAGCAGTCAACTGTCACTATATCAAAAAGGGTAAGTGGCACCGGTGGTTAGGCTAACTAGGGTAGGAACGCCATTCAAAAGAGACAGTCTTCGCTTCCCAGGGTACCGGCCTGCTCTAGGGTTCCCAGTCAGGGTCCGAGGACTCTGATGAATCGCCCGACGGTTCCTCTGAAGACTCCTCCGAGGGCTCCGACTCCTCCGACTCCGTATCCTCGGCTACGATCCTCTCGTCCTCCGAATCTAGCTCTAGCTCTGGGTCCAGATAAAGACCTAACTCGTCATCTTCCTCAGCTCCTATCTCTGCATCGGACCCTACCTCGGCGACCTCTCCAATTTCTTCCTTGTCATCTATGTCCGTGTCTTCAAGTTCCTCTTCTTCATCATCGAGCTGATCAGGATCTTCGGCGACTACTTGAGGCTCCCCATGCATGGGCTCATCCATGCCGTCTACGTCATACACATCCCGAGGATTGATTATCTCACCATCAGCCATCCGTGGAATCATCAATCCATCTTGGTCGACCGGCACATCAAAAGTTCTAAGGGGTTGTCCGAGGTTTCCGTCCGCATCTCGTAAGCACCAGGCCACGTACTCCTGAGTCTGATGAAAATACTCTCCCACATTTACAAACACCACGGATCGATATCTCACATAAGATTCCCCATTTCCTGCGGGGTATGTACTGGTATAGTGGCGTATCTGTACAGGTATTCCAAAAAGCGGCGGATTCGACATCTTTACGGCTGGGGGTCTGAAAATGTGGGTTATTACAACCGTGAGACGAATCTCAGCGAGTATAACCCCTAGACCTAGGCTAAGCTAACATGCATTCTCCTGACAGGCAAAACAACATAATACACAGACAATGGTTTGGCCTTTGGCCCAAACATAACATAAGAATTACCCTGCAGGTTAGGCAGTTCATTAAATTCCTCAAGGCACGTGCATAAATACGCTGATCACACGTGCGCTACGCGCATGCTCATATTCACAATGTTCATCTCGCATGCCGGGTCGTGCATTTTATGCATACAATGTCAATGTCATGCGATGTTCCCATTTCGGTTTACCCAATACACTGTCTTAATTATTAATTACGACTCGAGCCCACACAATTCCCGGCCCGGTGCGTCTAGCCTGCTACAAAGTGCATGAGGCGCAACACTGATCTCCCTACGAACTAGAGCCCGCGTAAAACGCATCAGGTTGGTCGTCTTCCGGACATACCGGGCATCGTCCTGCTACAAAGTGCATGAGGACGGCATCGACCCGAAGGCCCTTAAGTGATCACACGGCACCTTGCCAATTTTATCTGGGCCCCGCGTAAAACGCATCAGGGCATAATTAGGTGATCACATGCTCATGTCAGACACGCATTCTCGCACAATTTCGTCACACGCTTCATTCTCGGCACACCCAATGCGTGTCCATGAAATGCAACATAATGCAACATGAGCATCAATAAACCACAGGTACTCAGTCAAATCGAAATCACCACACAGTGCCCAATTCATAAATAGCGTGCTCACTTGGCCAGTTAATACCGAGCGGCCCGATTTCAAATACACAATTTAAGCCATCAATTGGCCAATCACACGAGCACTCAACATATCATTTCACAATTAAGCACCAATCGGTCAACAACCAATCACCTCGGATAATCCCGGTCATTCAGCTAACAATTCTCGTTGCCCGCCATAATCCGGTATATTCCTCAAAAATACGAATAGCCACTATTTCCCCAATCTGGGTCCAATAATTATCCATAATAATCCCATTAATTTCCTCGGATTATATTTCAACCAA